CTCAGCCTCTGCTGCTCAGCCTCCCAGCAGGGCCTCCACTGCTCAGCCTCCCAGCAGGGCCTCCACTGCTCAGCCTCCACCGCTCAGCCTCCGCTGCTCAGCCTCCACCACTCAGCTTCCGCCGCTCAGCCTCTGCTGCTCAGCCTCTGCTGCTCAGCCTCCCGGCAGGGCCTCCACCACTCAGCCTCTGCTGCTCAGCCTCCCGGCAGGGCCTCCACCACTCAGCCTCCTAGCTTCTGCTCCACATGGCCAACTGCCTCAGGCTCTCTCTTAACAGCCCCACTTACCAGTGCAGTCAGGATATCAGCTTCTCCCTTGGCCTGAAAGCCCTGAATTTTGTCTCTGTCTCTCCTTAGGGTACTCAGGTGGTTCAGGATTTTTTCCTGCGGAGAGACAAGCCGTGGGGACAGGTGGACTCAGGCTGAGCCCTGGGCTGGCCAGAGCCTTCCGAAGGGTCCGCGCCAGGCCCCGCCTCCGGGAGGGGCGTGCTTACCCTGTGGGGCTGGGCGGCCTTCTCCACGAGGACGGCCGTGTGGGGTCTGTGCTCCCGGGACTCGCGGCACATGACGCACAGCAGCTTCCCATCATCCTCGCAGTAGTAATGCAGCTTCTCCCGGTGCCGCTCACACAGCCTGGCGTCTGGCTGCTCCCGGGCCACGTCTCCCGGCTGCCTGTCCTTGTCCACCTTCAGCCGCTCGATGTTCTCCACCAGGCTGGCCAGCTGCCACACGGGCCGGATGTTCTCCTTCTTGAACGGCTTCTTGCAGAGGGGACAGACGGGGCGGCCCCCCGACACGGGGCGGACGTCGGTGGTGCAGCTGCGGCAGAAGACGTGGCCGCAGTCGATGGTCACGGGGTCCCTCAGGTAATCGAGGCAGATGGAGCAGGTGACCTCCTCCTCCAGGCTGCGCAGGGGCGCTGACGTGGCCATGGCGTCCTTGGCTCGGGGGCGCTTCGCGTCCTGGGGGACCAGACACGGAGTCAAGAGCAGGCCCAGTGGAGGGGCAGAGGCGGCCGCGCACACGGGGCCCCCAGCTCCAGAAACCAGTCAGGCAGGCAACAGACACTCCTCCGCTCCTACGAGGCTCGGTGTCCGAGTGAAGGACCGCACCGAGTGCAGACGGGAACCAAGGCCCAGAGAGGGTGCTCGGGGCGGGCGGGGAGCACAGCGCCGCTAGCCGGTACCGTGCTGCTGGGAAGCAGAGCTGCCTGAGGCCTGTCCTTCCACCTGCTGGGAGACGCTCAGAGGCACTCGCTACGACACATAAGACACTTGGAGATGTGTCACCTCGCCCACACCTCCGTGTCTACACTGCGCTCCCTCAGCTGTGGGGGCACAAGTGTCCGTGGGGCGGGGCACCAGAGTCAGGAGGCTTCTCCAGGCTGTGGGTCGCCAGCACTGAGGGCACGGGGTTGTCAGGCTAGACTCAGGAAGCACGGGCACTCCGAGTCCTGGCGCCCCCAAACAGACGTGTCCCCGGGGGGCGCCGTGGTTTTGGTCTCGTTCCCTTTCCCCGTAGACGCAGTGTGCAGGCAGCGCCCGGGAAGGACACCAGTGTGGGGGGCCCCCAGCGGGCCGTCCTGTGACCTGCTGCTGCGGATCTGGCCCTCGGCGGGAGCACGGCACACACCACACACGGGACCTCAGCCCCGTCGACCTCGGCAGCCCTGGCCCACGGCCTGTCCGAGGAGCCTCCGCAGGGCTGCCCCGGTTCCGCGTGCCCACAGAAACCTCTTACGTGCTCTGAGCCTCGGTTTATCCATCGTAAAATGGGGACAGTGATACTTACCTTCAGGGCTTGCTAAGTGGGTTGAGCCAGAGAATCCAGAGGGGGGTCCGGGAAGGAAGCCAGAGCCCTTGGCTCCCGGACCCGGCGAGAGTTGCAAGCCCGGACAGAGCACGGTGGGAATGCACAGTGGCAGTGAGAGAGGACGTGAGGCTGAAGCAGCCGCAGTGACTCGGGCTCTGGGTGCCAGTCCTCGCGGGGTGGGGACTGGGACCCACAGAGGGCAGCCAGCGGCCGGGGCAGGAAGGGAGCACGGGGGCCACGGGCAAGTCAGTGCTGCTGCTGACTGTGGATGCGGGAGGTCCACCACCGAGAGCCCGGTGGCCTTGCGGCTCTTCCCCGGCGGCGACAGGAAGGAGCTGCAGAGGAACCCCAGACAGAGACGACAGGAAGCAGGGTCTACTCCTGGACAGTGGATGCAGTCAGACAAACGTGCTTTATAACTGCAGAACTCTACAGACGTAGGGGATTACCGCACTGCTGACCGGACACACCAGCAGGGACTTGGAGGCGTGGGACCCGAAGAGGGGTCATGTGCACACAGGGCCCACGTGAAGGAATTACGGGATTTAACTGGGACGTGAAGACAGTACAGTGTCTAGGATGTCAGCCAGGCGGTAACCGATCCCAGGAACAGCCTCATGCAACTCTCTGCTGAGGGAATCACCTGACCCCGAGCCCTCAGTCCCGACACAAAGAGGACAGTGGCCGGTGCTGGGGATCCCCGGGGGCTGTGACTCTGCCGAGCAGCTTGCAAGCTGAAAAGCAGAGGCCATGTGTCTCTGTCCCTGTTGGGGGGACGGCACGTGCTGTCTTTGGGGCCGGCGGTGTAACTGCTGCGGGCAGAGCTCAGCCAGAGCCCCCTGTCCACACAAGACCTGACCCCGTCCCGTACAGCAGGTGCTCCTCACCGTAGGACAATGATCCCATGTGTACAAGACGCATGAAACGGTCTAGGATTACAGAACCACGCCGGCCCATCAGTGTAGGAGGGGATTCGCAGCACACCGCCCTGCAACCCTCTTTATCATCAGTGGCTGGTCCGACCATGAAGGGCAGAGGGGACACGTCCCCGCTGCCAAGTACTGCCCAGTGATGGCCTCCGGATGAACCTTGATAACGCAGAGACGTGCGATCACCCCAAGCAGTGACCAAACCCACAGCGCTCAGAGGCACCAGCTGGTATCTGCTTCCCAAAATGGCACCATGTGGAGACACGACATCGCCTTAGAAGTCATCCTGCCAAAACTGACCTGAATGGACCTAACCGAGCCTTCAGACTTAACTTCCGAGGTACAGAAAATACGAGGGATAGAGAGCTGCGCTGTACCACGTCATGAGGAAACAAATTCAGAATATGGGACGTTCCACGGGACAACCGGCTGGCCTGCGTCATGGGGGCGCCTGGGGACGCAGTCAGCGACCCTCTGACTCTCGGTTTTGCCTCGGGTGGTGATCTCAGGATGCTGAGATGGAGCCCTGTGTTGGGCTCCACGCCGAGCGCCGAGTCTGCTGAAGTCCCCCTCTGCCCCTCCCCACCTGGCGCGCTCTCGCTCTCAAATAAATAAATAAATAAATCTTAAAAAAAAAAGTCAATGTCATGAAAAAAAATTGTTCTTGACTTAATAAGACCAAAGGGAAAAAACAGCCAAAGGCAAATACCTTGACTGGATCCTGTTTTGTTTTAAAGTCTGACCAAAGAAGGCTGGGTACTGGATCACATTAGGAAACCGTTAATTTTTTTTTTTTAATTTTTTTTTAAGGATTTTATTTATTTATTTGAGAGAGAGAGAATGAGAGACAGAGAGCACGAGAGGGAAGAGGGTCAGAGGGAGAAGCAGACCCCCCGCCGAGCAGGGAGCCCGATGCGGGACTCGATCCGGGGACTCCGGGATCATGACCTGAGCCGAAGGCAGTCGCTTAACCGACTGAGCCACCCAGGCGCCCTCATATAACCCATTTTGAATTTTCTTTTTCCTAGCCATTGCATTCTACAAGAGAGGGTATAAAAAGAGACTGTTTTCTTTTTTTTTTTTTTTTT